TTATTACTTATCCTAGATGCACAGCCAACCACTCGTTTTGGGTGTCCTGGAGACACAGAATCGTTTGGTGCCCACCTCAACACTCAGTGATAAACATTTGCGACGCTATAAACGAAAGCGTACATCATAACATGTGGAGCTAGGTAGCTAGAAACGCTAACATGGCTTACCTTGGTCAAAACTGGTCTTCAATGGCATTAAAACGATAAAAAAACGATGCTGCAGTTAATCCATAGGTTAATCGAATGTATCTGTGTCCTCTTTGAAATTATTTCTGATAATCCATCAGCAATAAAATTGCTTTTTCGTTTCCAAATGTCAGAGCGAGAGATCGGTCCACTCTGCTGCACATTTACATGCGCGCAGCCCCCACCTTTTCTCTTCACAACGTGTGTGTGTGGGGGCCTCCCCCTTCGATTCTATTGGCTCTAACGGTCAGAAAGAGGTGTCAACCATCCAAATCGAGCAAGGGGCGCCAGAGATATGGAAAAAAAAACATTTTCACCCAAATCACCTCAGAGGTGGGGTGGTTTTGGCTAAACCTCTCTAAAAAGGTCAAATGTCACTTGTTTTGCATCAATCTTGATACAGGGTACTTATTATATGTTGTACTTTGGATTCCTAAAGCTTTTAGTCTACTAACCCATCATCCAAGGGTAGTTTTCACTATCTGTAAAAAAGAATTTTTGGACGGACACTATAATTTACAGTTTTTGACTATGTAAAATCTGAATTTTCTTTAAAATAAAAAACATCTATATTGATTCTGACACTTCTACATCCAACTCACAGATGTAACCTTGCTTTGATAAAAATAAATTATTCATATAACCCTTTTAGAAGTTAAGTTGTAGTCATTTGTTTTGGGCATGTCATTTTCGAGCCTGAAACATGAAAAACAGGCTTGGTGCTTAACAGGTTAATATTTTTCTTCCAAGAGTAGCTGGATGCTGATCCCCGTGAGGCCGGGGTTCTCTGATTCCAAAGACCCAGAGGCAAGCAGGAGAACCAATCAGAATCAAAGACTTCTGTCCAGGTGTACTGTGTCTTTCAAACTTTCTGATTCTATCATTTTGTGTTTTTCTTAAGATAAGAGTTAGCCTATATTGCATTCTCACATTAACTATTTCATTTTTGAAAGTTAGAATGTATAAGGCAGAGATGGAGTACTCGACTCGGACTCGCGCACTGATTGACGCGACTCGGACTTGGACTCGTGAATTCTCGCGCATGATGACTTGGACTCGGACTCGTGAATTATCGCGTACGCTGACTTGGACTCGGACTCGGAATCGTGAATTTTTCCCCCCATGATGACTCGGACTCGACTTGTACATTGACGCTCCGACTTGGACTCGGACTCGGACTCGAGCAAGTTTTCTATGGAGTGAGTCTGATGTCCTCTATCCTGGCGTGCGCACCTGCGAGGCGAGTTCACGTACTGGGCCCCGCTATTCCAGTCTAAAGATGTCTAGAGACACACCCCGCATCATGCTGTTGTATGCTTTCACACATTGGAAAAGAGCAGCGCAAAATGCTCTATGTGGAAACAATATTGAAGAGAAGGCTCCGTAACACATTACTCTAAACATCGAGTTCAGACATATAGGCTGTCTTGAACACTATCATCAGAGTAACGTGATCTAATCAATACATAAAGATTCAGCCGATAACACGAAAGCATATGGCTACTTAACATGCAGAATGACGTCATTTTGCATGCTAAGTAGCCATGTGCTTTCTGGGGCTAAATCTTTATCAGTAAACCGATTTAACCGGTAAAAGTTCCTTCAAAATAAGAGTCCCGATCGTATTACTATCAAAATAAAAGTGCAAAACGAAAACTTTACAATAGGAAAATATTGGCATACAAATATAATCACTTCTCTAAAAGGTAACTCATTTTAAACATAGTTTATTTATATATAATAATATTAATATTAGTAATAAGCTTTATATTTGTATAGCAGCTATTACAAGAATTGTAGCCAAACTGGCTTCACAGCAGTTCAATAGGCAGATTAGTATAACATGACAGGATAAAAGCAATGTAGAGGAGCAGCTACATTTCAACACATATATCCACGAAGATTAATACATGAAGACTTGTGACTCGGACTTGACTTGGACTCTTCTTAGGTGACTCGGACTTGGACTCGGACTCGAACACAGGTAATGATGACTCGGACTCGGACTCGACTCGGACACTCCTTGGGTGACTCGGACTTGGACTCGGACTCGAACACAGGTAATGATGACTCGGACTCGGACTCGACTTGGACATTCCTTGGGTGACTCGGACTTGGACTCGGACTCGGACTCGACTACGACTCTCCCTTGGTGACTCGGACTTGGACTCGGACTCGAAGAGTGGTGACTCGAGAGTGACTTGGACTCGTGAATTGGTGACTTGACTACAACACTGGTATAAGGTGCAGAACGGTACCAAACACTTGATGTCAACCATTGTGAATAATACCCAAGCGGCAAACTCTGGGGCAGAGGCGGGAAGCCCATAAGGAAGTGCCACAAACTGCAGTTCATCTATTGGCCGATAGGGGATGGCTGCAGAAAGGAGCAATTTCCATAGACCCCCATGTTAAAATGCCCAACTTTACAGCAGAAATAAACATGTTTCTACCCCTGGATGCAATAAAACGTATTCTGGACATAGTTAGATTCCACCTTCAATGGATTGGGGAGAGAATTTTTTTATAACGCACCCTTTAGTTATATTAAAGGTGGGGTAGGTAAGTTTGAGAAACCGGCTCGAGATACACTTTTTGTTATATTCCATGGAATGCTCTTAACATCCCGATAGCAATGAATATCTTAAGTGCTTTGACAAAAAATTCATAAAAAAATGTCATCTGTGGAAGCCGTAATACTGTAAAAAGTACGACCAATCATTTTAGCCGGCCCGGCTAAAATAACTGGATGGCCTACCTGCCTGTCAGCCTTCCATCTGTGCACAAACTTATCTCGTGCCCTCATTGGTCATGTGCGCGTTCGTGTGTGTTGGAGGAGGGGCTCTATAAGGAAGTGGCAGATTTTCTCCGGTTGTGTATTTTCAAATTCTAGCGATCTCGAGCCGGTTTCTCAAACTTACCTACCCCACCTTTAAGTCTTAAAGCTTTTGCATAAATTAGGGCGTGGTCACCTTGAGTGACAGGTCTCTGCGGTGACCGCTGCTTTAGCTTTCTGTCCCTCTGCTAGCTCCGTTAGCTCTGTTAGCTCCAGGATGCTACAGGGGCTCAGATGCTCGGCTGATCCAGGGAACATAACTTGAACTCTGACGTGTTTGTTGTGTTGGTGCCTGGTGGAGTATTCTTCATTTAAATATCGGACTTATCTTACGGCTCTGCGGTTAAAACAGACCGTCCCTGAATGCAGTTTCTTCGGTAAGTGAAATTCAAGCACTTTATTTCTTAATGGTCTTTACATTCAGCTAACGAGCGAGAGGAAGCTACATCTGTGCTAATGATGCTATCCGTAGCATCCAAGTTAAAACATAATAGAGAAGTGTAAAACATCAAGAAGGATTATACTGTAGAACAAAAGGCTTCTGTGTGACTGTGAGGTTGGTAAAATAAGGTCATCCTCGTACATTAGTTAGTTTGCTAGTTAGGTAACTATGCATTGTTATTGTTGATTTAAATTCGCTATACTCGACGATGCAGACAGCTAACGTCACAGTAGTGTTGAAGACCAGCGTACTGTACATGAGATTAACCTCACTATAAGATCTGTGTAGCTGAAAAATATGAATCTCACTTTTCCAGATGGTCCCAGAAATAACGTTAACGTAGATATTGCAATATGGTTTGTTGAGCTGGAGTTGATTATTGAAGCTTACTGGTTAACGTTACCATCATAATAAACGAACGAACCCAAACCTTGTTGTTTTTATTAATATTATTACGTTACGTTATGTGTGCTTCTGTGACAATTAAGCTTATTCATTGCATCACATTTGTTAAAGATGTTTGTCTTTTACCCTTACGTGTGTGTTACAAATGAATGTGACATATATTTAATTTGACTGTCTCATGAAAAACTATTCCAAAGTAACAGTCAAATAAAAAGGACCCCAACTAGACAATAATACACAATCCAACTGATAAGATACAGTAAGGGCTGTGATATCCAGCACTTTTTTTAAGGATAATCAAAAAGATTATCACATGACGTTTGCATGTAAAAAAGTCTGTGACCAACACATGTTACTTAACTATCTGTTTGTTTAAAGTTTCCAGGTGATGCAGACAGACCAGAGGATGCTGAACACGAGACTCGAGACACACCGAGATTCCTAACATCAGTGAACTTCAGCATGGACTCAAAGGTACAAAGACCCCTTTCATACTGTACAAAGAATCGAGAAATGTTCTGGTTTAAATAGATAAAGTAACAACTATAATACACTGATATACATTCCATTAAACATGACTAAATACTGACACATCAGGGAAGTTGAGTGTTCCTTCCATGCAAAAGGTTACATTTAGATTTTACCAAGCAACAAGCAACATGATTTTTTTGTCAGCTTTCACATGTCAATGTATTTAAGGCAATTATTATTTTACTTTGTGAAAATTACTACCATTTGTCTCTACATATTGTCTGGAAAACGTGGTAAAAGTGGTTCTTGCAGTGAGACAACCGAACAGCATGACACTACAGTTGCACTAAGTTCTGATAACAGTTGAATATTATTTTAATAATAACATATATTTTAATGTTGATTAACTGAAGACTGTTCATTCATAATCTGATTATCTTTGTAGTACAAAGTGATGAATTTAAAAAACACATTCAAATAATTTTGTATTTATTTCTACAGCCCTCTAACGCACCTCTTTCATAAATAACACACTTACTCTGCAATGATGTCATATGTTTTATGTTTCTTGTCATTTCTGTTAGGAAAGGACATACCTGAGGGACACAACTGCCTCACCGTTTTCTCCGAGGGGCAAGAAGAAAATGAAAAGCTGATATGAGATTAAAGCAGTTAATTTAGTAATACTAAGAAACTACTCTTTTATTGTGAACACAAAGATCTGCACACTGAATAGTGTGTAGTCAAACAGGACCATCATTTGTTTGTGACAGCTGTGCCCAGTATGGGCTCACAGATGCAGTTTGTTGGTTTCTTCATCAGGCCTGGTCCTCCTCCATCAGGCCTGCTCCTCCTCCCAGAGAAAGACCTCTCCACCTCAGTCCTCTCCAGCCAAACCCACAGACAGGTCATCCGTCACGCTGAGGTTTCTCCCGAAGTCTCTGCAGCTCTCTGGACACCACGCCGTCTCAATTGATCCACACTGTGAATATGAGAGGGGAACATGTGTGTAATAAATGCTTTAGACAATAAGAAATATGAAGTTAACTGTAAGGAGTGGCTCAGTCTTTTTAAATAAACAATACTATTACTGTATTTTAATATCTCACTTCTGAAAGTTTAATTTAAAAGAAGAAGAGGCACCTAAAATGAAGATTGTTATTTCAATACATTTAGTTGATTTTGTCTTTGTTGGGGAATCATTTCCCCTGGATGTCATCCTTCGCCCTCTGACGCAGATGCCCAGCCTTGAGCAGCCGTTATCTCCCATAGAAGGGGCCGCCCTAGCAAGTTGTTGTTGTTACCAGTCACCAGTCACCAGTTTGTGACCGGGCAACTCTCTGTCAGAGATAGTTATTGTTGTGGGACACCTGGAACACATCCTTCTCGGGGTGTAATGACCCCGAGCCATAAGCGACAACAAATGTGGTTCAGTGTCCTCAGCTGTTTAGTCTATCTATTGAAGAATGTTGATTATTACACTCTGAACTAGTTCAAACCTGGAGCTACAGGAGGGCTCTTCAGAATTGATTGTGGCATCTCAATCGTGTGGTCAACTCGTGGCCCGTGACATGTCTTGTGAATTCTCTGGCCAAAGCTCCAAATAAACCCTCAGTGTTTGCCATCAAAGCTCCAGCTCTCCTCGTGTCTCTCTGAGTCCTGACTCCATCAAAGCTCCAGCTCTCCTCGTGTCTCTCTGAGTCCTGACTCCATCAAAGCTCCAGCTCTCCTCGTGTCTCTCTGAGTCCTGACTCCATCAAAGCTCCAGCTCTCCTCGTGTCTCTCTGAGTCCTGACTCCATCAAAGCTCCAGCTCTCCTCGTGTCTCTCTGAGTCCTGACTCCATCAAAGCTCCAGCTCTCCTTGTGTCTCTCTGAGTCCTGACTCCATCAAAGCTCCAGCTCTCCTCGTGTCTCTCTGAGTCCTGACTCCATCAAAGCTCCAGCTCTCCTCGTGTCTCTCTCTGAGTCCTGACTCCATCAAAGCTCCAGCTCTCCTCGTGTCTCTCTGAGTCCTGACTCCATCAAAGCTCCAGCTCTCCTCGTGTCTCTCTGAGTCCTGACTCCATCAAAGCTCCAGCTCTCCTCGTGTCTCTCTGAGTCCTGACTCCATCAAAGCTCCAGCTCTCCTCGTGTCTCTCTGAGTCCTGACTCCATCAAAGCTCCAGCTCTCCTCGTGTCTCTCTGAGTCCTGACTCCATCAAAGCTCCAGCTCTCCTCGTGTCTCTCTGAGTCCTGACTCCTATTGCTTCAGAAATTCTTTTTAATTGTTTAAAGTAAAGTAGATAGAACAGGTACTTAAGAGTTTTAATACAGTCTAGTTGCAGAGGAGCACTAACTAGCTACCATCACATGTTACTAAGCTTGACTTGAATTTATTAAAAGTATAATTAAGTAACAGCAAAAATTCAATAACTAAAAACATGCAAACATTTTAATCTTTGCTGGGTCCGCTGTTGAATTTACCACATATTATATATTTTTTAAACCTGAAGGCATTTTAAGATTTGTATGCAATTATTATCCCAAAACTCAATACCTTAGATTATTATTGAAGGTTTTGCTGAATAGTTTCATGTTAACTTACCTTAAGCAACGTAAAACGTGCAGACCGGGAGCAACAGACGTAGGTTCTATCCTTATTGAATGAGCAGAATACAAACTATCAATGCAGGTCAGTATGGAGTTCTCATATGTGGGTAAAGGAGAAGGAGGGAAGATTAGGGGAAAGGAGGGAGAAAAGATTGATACCTAGAAGCCTCTATGGGCAGGAATGTGTGATGTCAATAAAGTGGGTTAGTGAACATGAGCAGCTTGTAGCTTAAAATTGTTTCTTCCGTTTCTGCTGGCCTGTAAACAGTTTATCAACATATTCTGTAATAATTTAGTTGCAATTACCAATAATCTGCTTCACACCCTAACCCACAAATACAAGCGTTAGGATGCCTTCAGCTTGGTCTATAATAATGAATTATCCAGCAAAAGCCTTAGCCTGGAACCAGGAGTTAAGTATCCTCATGGGTCTCAGGGGACTGTTGGTCATTCTGGCACAGCCAACTTCTAGTGCTGTTGCCAGTAAAGAATGGCTCATGTCTGTCCACCCTAAGGACGCTTATTTTGAAGTTCCTATACTTTTTATATGTAGTTCCTTCCATAGCCTTCAAGTCTGTTTTAGGAATGCACCCATTTTGGCTCTCCCCACGGGTGTTCACCAGCTGAGTTGTGGTAGTCCTCTTGCCCTTGCAGACTGTGTAGGCTCTATGGAGGGGGGTGTGGACCATATAAAGCACATCAATATACTGAAGCACTTCCGGCCAAACCTGAAAGGGAGGCATGTGCTAATCTAGTTGGACAACACCATGAACATTTTTCATATCAATTTATGGTTGCACCAAATCCGATGGGGGAGTGGCAGCTTCATACAGAGGTGGTGCACAGAGTCTCTGGACAAGAGCAGAGGTAGAACTCCTTGCCTAAAAGATGTTGACCCACTAATCCTAATGGTCCTCCCTAACAAAGGTGATCCCCTGTGATTGTACCAACACACTACTCTTATGCCCCTTTCACACCAACGCAACTCCGGTTCAAGCTCCGTGCTAGAGCTTTTCTGGTTCAGAACCGGTTCTTCGGTTTAGCGCCGGCTCTTTTCATACTGCTCAGAGCCCGACTGGTGCTGCCGCTGCTGCGTCATGACGTCACAGTTTACGTCGCTGAGTTTCTCCCCAACGCCGGAGCTCACCTCACAACAACAACGGGCCGGGGACTGCGTTGCTTTTAATCATACGAAGCCAGATTAAATTAAATAACGACTTCTCCAACCTTATACTTTTCTCCAGAGTGCCGTGGTTCATTGTTTATTAATGTGTTTCAGCGGCATTTACCGACCGCTGCAGTGCTGGCCGGCTGCTCTTCAACGGGAGTGTATTCTCCGTTAGCTCCGGGTTAGCTCACACGGCTCTAAAGTATTCACTGTCTGACTGTCACACAAGCAGCTGATACATATCCCCAGTTCCCCTTAAGTGAATGTGTGTCAGTCTGAATTGAACGCTGTTTGGCATCACAACGCTGTTATGAAAGTTTCTCTGGTATAACATGGGTGATGTTAGCATAGCAACCGAAGCTAAACTGACTACTTGCTAAGCAGTTTTCTACAGGCACTTTTTACCGACGTATTTTTCATTATGATTCTACTTGTGATAGTCGGACATGACAACCTGTGCAGCCCATGTATTGATTCCATCCGATAGCTGCTATAATAACAAACAAAACGTCTGCCTGCTCTCCACAATGATCAATAACAGCGAACGGATGGTCAAAGTAAGGTACAAATAAACAGAATCACACGAAGCCTGGTTAGTGTTGCCTGACTTTATAAAGTGTGTTTTTTTTAACAAGTGTGTGGTTGCGTTCTAGTCACTTTGCTCAGCACTACTGCTTGTTGCAACTTTTATTTGCCGTACTCGCCTTAAGTGTTAGCTCAGGTTAATCTCGGCCCCCTCCGATGTAAGCGTGACGTATGCGGTTCTTGCTTCTAGACGGACAACTTTTTGGTGCTCGAAACGAACCGGATTCCGGAGCTATGACGCTGCTCCGCTGCGGTGTGAACAGGAAAACCCGGTGCTTTTCAAGCACCAGCACCGAACCGGCCCTGAAACACCGTTGGTGTGAAAGGGGTATGAGAGTTCTTTCAGGGGCCCATGCTTCTTCTGGTGGGCCCCTTTGTGACCAGTAAGGACCAGGTTCTCCCTGCTGCACAGAATCTGCTGCGGGATGCCCTGGTGTCGTCCCAGCAGGAAAGGATATCTTCCCTCAGCTGTTGGTCGTATTTTGCATCCCAACGTCTGCTGCGTTCAGCTGTGGGTTTGGCACAGTACTTGAAGAGGGGGAAAACAGTGCCAGTACTCCCTTATAACATATTAGCATGTGTATCAGTAAACCATTATTACGTTGAATAACAAGCAAAGTCCTTCTCAGTCTACTCCAGGTTTAATTATACTGCCCTTTATTTGAAATAGCAAAATAAATATATATAAGTGGAGATGAAGACCTTCACAACTGAAATCAAAGAGTTTAGTGTGTACAGCAGAGATGAAAAGAGTAGATCTACTACAGTTTCCTACTCAAGTAAAATTACAAGTAAGCGCACTTAAATACATGTTATAATAAATGATCAAAATATGCATTCCTGAGTAGAGTAACTAGAATGAACCAGAGTACACTAAGCATTAGGCTACATGAATACAACACATCAAAGTTGCAAACACAGGTGAATAAACAATATAAGCCCCAGTCTATGCCACAAACAGTCTATGCAAAAAACACATAACCGTGTTAGGCTATAGCAAAGAAAGTGTGGCAGTGTTTTAAATTGACGACAAGGTAGCGTGTACTTAACCAACCTTGTAACACAAGTGTTTAATTTCTCTCTAATTAAACAGACAACAGCAGAGGATGGAGTTTAGGTTGTTTAGGTGCACTAATGTCAACACCTGAGCGCGTGCAGCTTTGAGTACCCGCAGGGAAGCAGTGCTCCCTGGGTAAGACAGTTTTTTCCCTTTAGTGGGAAAAGGTCAATTGAACATGATTTGAGAGGGCTGAGCACCGGCAGCCTGTGAGAAGTGCAGGTACGCAAATAAAAGTCACGTTACACCAAAGAGTGAAAGTTGAAAGAGCAGTGATTGAACCTCCTCACATGGAGCCCGTCCTGTGGTATGGTCTCGCTGGTCTTCTTTTCAATCCTTGGTGCATGCAGAGCTAAGGTGGTTGTCGGGCGGTTTTGTCCTTTACCATAACTCAGCGTGTAGGAAGGCTACACCCCTTGGATCTTCTGCTCAGGTGTTCAGGTGTTCATGTGACTGTTGGTGTCAATTATTCAGGATTGAGCACTGCCTTTGGCGGTCGGTATGAGGATGAGATATTGATTCAGTTGGTCAGTAAATTGTCTATAATGTGTTACTTTATTTTTATACTTAATGTATGATTCTATTTCCAAATTCAGTCTTTTTTTTATTGAATATCATATGAATTATGAGGAAGGCTTCTTTGGCAAAATAGTTTTGCATTTGTTCAATGCTGAGATCTAACAATACTGAGATATCAGTGTTTCACGCTGTGCAGAAATGCCATCACATCAATGATTTGATTCTGTAGATAAACAGCGGTACACATGAATGTTCTGCAACAGAATCAGAGTCTGCTGATCCGTGTGAGAACGCTTGTCCCTCAGCATATGCATATATAAGCCTACAATACACTTTCAATTACAACACTGTTCCTGTTCTCTCTTCTCTCCCCCACACACACACACACACACACACACACACACACACACACACACACACACACACACACCACACACACACACACACACACACACACACACACACACACACACACACACACACACACACACACACACACACACACACACACACACACACACACACACACACACACACACACACACACACACACACACACACACACATACTGAGACCCTTTTTCTCCAGTTATGCAAATAACATCAGCCCTAAAACGGTTTGAGTGAGAATTAAACGTGAATTAAATGAGGCTTGGCTCTTTTCACTCCATTCTATCTGAATAAGGCAAAGTCCCGTCACCATGGGAGATCCCCACGCTGTTGCTATGCCTGTTATGGGATTGACAAGACGAGAAGTGACATAAATACCGTGGCCGGCGTTCAATCCAATTATATGGCGTGGCCTGCCTGAATACCTGCTAGCCATGCAGCGCTGCGCTGGCGTCCTTGTATTCAGCCCGCCTCAGAAATAAGACTGACCGTATTCTTCTTTAAGCCCAGCGCTAACCTTGGTCTCCTCACCTCAGCTAGCTCCGAGGCTCTGCCCTCGACCCTACGCTGCACCATCAGCCTGCTTTAATACAGGCCTTTGGACAAGGTGCTTCCCCAGGCTCTCTCAATACCCCGGACCAAGACAAAATCCCCCCTCAACTATCAAAAGGCCTCACAAAAACATTGGAAATGAATAGCTTTTGATATAATAATATACACACCGTACAGGAAGTGTATGTGTCAAGAAATTCCTGGGTGATGTTTCTATGATTGACTTGAGCTGAGTAAAAAGAGATGAGATGACCCAAAGTAACAAACAGTGATCAAATATCGTTTTATGTACTTTGAATAGAAATTACATAAACATTTAAACTCCTGATTGAATAACTCCTTATTCTCCTAGTGAATCCCATAATCCTTTAACTCCAGCTGGTCTACAATGAAGAGACAGTTCTAAGACAGCCTCTTTTCATCCAGCTTCTGTGACTCAATGCAGTTTTCGAAATGATACATTTAAATATACAGTATGGGGCACATATACATACAACACATGCTTTTAGAATTCAAATTATTCAACATCTGTTTCAAAAATTAAACCATTATAATTGTTTTAGCATTAGGTTTTACTAGCGCTCTGTTCTCTGTGCTTATATAAATGTTTGCACTATTCAGCCCCCACTGTATTGTTAATGCGTTTAAGGGTGGGAGTAATGAAGGCTAGAGAAGGCTGAGCCATACTTAAAGTATTGGTCCCTTCTCTGTACACAACCATTCTATAGGCCTATATATAGAGACAGATGCTACAATTTACC